TCACGAGACGCTGTATATATATATATATATATATATGTGTGTATATATATATATATATATATGTGTATATATATATATATGTATACATATATATTAGTTTTTGTTAATTACAGTGATTTTGCATCCATAAAAAACAGTTCATAATGTAGCTGAGACACAGAAGCAAGCTGAGAAAAACAAAAAGAAAATAAGAGAAGTTAAATCACCTACTTTATGTGTTGTTGGTATGTACACTCCTCTTTGCGTGTCTGTCTGCCGCTTTGTGTATGTGTGTATGCTTGCGTGCTCTGTATATCATCGTAGCAGAATGAATGGGGCGTGAAACCATCTGTCTCCTGGTTAGATGAGAGTTATACTGACTTTATTAGATGTTTGAAACGATGCAGATGGTTATCATTATCTTAGGGAGTTAGGCACACGTACACTCATGCATGTACACACACAGATGTTCATCAGGGTGTTATGAAGATATATGCACAGGCATATATTATATACACATATAACACACCTGCACGTATGAACACATACAGGTGAACACAGACACACAGTAGGATTCTTGAAATCTTAAAAACCTCATCATGCATCAAAAACATTATGCTGTCATCCAATCACAGGGTACGTTCTAAAACCATGGCACTGTGCTGGTTTGTGCCCAATGGCCATAGTTTCCATTCCATTTACTTTAGGCACACCGCTTGTGCCAACCTGAAGCTACAGCAAGTTGTGGCACATCAACAAAACAACACATGGAGTCTGATGGAAAGGTGAACAGCACCATGTCCTCCCAGTAGCCCACAACTTTTGATTATGAATCAGAAAATGTTAAGAGGACAGAATTTGAATCATGCTGAGCTTGAAAATCCATTCCTTGATCTAGACTGTGTAAAACCATGATTGAATGAAATTTAAAACCAGAAAATCACACTTAAGATGGTGTCCTGGTATCTGGACTCTGTGGGGCAGTATTCAGTCAGTGATGCAGGCTGCTTACTGTGTGTTCAAAAGCAGATACATCATGTTGCCTAATATGAAAGAATAGCGTATGGAGCATCTGGAGTTATCATTATGAGCAGATCAGCGTCATATCACTGCCTCGGGTGCTGCCTGCAGTCTATTTCAAGAAGGTTCCCTGCCTTTGCCACTACTTAACAAGCAGCATGTTGGTACAGACAAATGGTACAGCCACAGATTCAGTTCTCTGTGTATAACAGATGCTTTTATGTGCACTATACAGTATGTACTTCTTCCTAGAATTAAAATGCACCGTAGGGCAACTTGGGAAAAAGGAGGCGGATGAAAAGTTTCGTGTTGTCTTTCGGAATGCTTACCATTCAATATGGTACTGATTTATTCGTTGTTACTGATTATAAATGTACTACTGCCATAATACTTGTTGAAGATTCAGCCCTATACTGCTAAATATAGTGTAAGAGCAGTGTCAGTGTACTGCAGTCTACATTAGCATACTGTGTACTGTATGGAATTCAAAGCACAACAGAATACTTAACCAGGTTCAAATTCAGAGCTGTAAGCAGTTTACAGTCTCTACAGCTGTATTTGGATACCACGAAACCAACTACCTGGCAAATGAAACATGTAAACTCTATACAAACACATTCATACACACATACAGTATGAAGTAGCAGTGTGAACCGCTGTTGTCGCTTCATTTACATCAGTAGTTGATTTTATGCATGTTTGTGTTCTAGTAATCCAGTGTCACCCTCCTCCTCAAGTACATCACGGGAAAGTGGAAGGGAGCGACTACTCATGGGGATCGAGTGTTAGCTACAGTTGTTTCCATGGTTACCAGTTGTCTACTCCTGCAGTGCTGACCTGTGAGGGGAACGGGACGTGGACGGGAGACGTACCACAGTGTCTGTGTAAGTTAGCTGCCTCGATACCGATGCTGCAAACTGCTGCTTAACTTTAACTGATACACATCACTGTTTCCCTTTAAGTGATTGTAACAGATCAAACTGTCACCTGTTTGTCTTTCAAGCTTTTTTGTGTGGTGATCCCGGCTCCCCTGGAGGAGGATTCAGAGAAGGAAACATCTTTTCATACCGGTCAGTGGTTAGATCGATTAGTTACTGCCTGGTGTGGATTACTTATAGCTTTGTGAAAAATCTGTGCTGTCTAAAAGCAATATTATTTTTAGATAATATTATTAGTATTGCTGCCAATCTTGTTACAGTTATTGTTTCCACTATATTCCTTTTACTGCTGTATTGATCACTGTTTGCCAACAGTCACTCCGTTACTGAAATACCATTGTCAAATTTGCTGTAGTAAATTAAAACTAAGGCTTAAAGCTACTGTTGAAAGCAACCCAAAACAACTTGCCACGGTTAATGTGTATAAAAGTAAAGGTGGCAGCGTGTCTTCACTGTGAAATCACCTGGGAAAGTATTGTTGCTTCCAGCAAGGTGACCAAATGTTGACTCAGTAAAGCTTACCTTAAAAATAGATGGAACATTTTTTGGCCCCTATGCATCGATGTCAGTGTGAAACATCCGAAGGATGAAATAGGTTTTGGCTTGTGAGCAAAATCAAGAAAAAGGTGTAGGCCAAAGGTCAAGTGGTTAGATAAAGAGGCACAGACACTTACATATCACCCTAAAGTGTCCTATGGTTAACAGAAGACTGCAATATAGATTATTGCACAACTTTTTTTTTTTACATATTAGTTTTTTTCATGTGTGTAATGAAATGTTTTCTTTCATAGGTCAGAAGTCAGGTTCTACTGCCAAGCCCCCTACCTGCTGGTAGGCTCCGCCTCCAGAGTCTGTCAAGCTGATGGGATTTGGAGTGGCCAACAACCAGCCTGTATAGGTAATGAAAAGACAAAACAGAAATAATATAGCAAAAAAATGACTGAGTTAAGTTCTTGTTTTACAACATAAAGCTTGTTTGTGCCCATGTTTTAAGATAATGGCAATTTATTACAGTCATTTAACATTTTTACAACACACATAGAAGAACCTGCACAAATTTGAGAAACATTACCAGAACTGGCAGGACATTTGTGTAAATGTGTGTTCTGTATATCTGCCTTACAAACCTTATGTTTTTTCATGCTGGGAAAAAAATGATCAAGTTATGAACAAAATGGTATGAAATCATGTTACTGCTAAATGTGACTGTGGAGCTCACGTCCTAGCATTAATATTCCTGGAGATATTACCTAATCAGTAGACCAAGTGTGTAGTTTTGATGTCGGTATTTGGTTTCTTTTAAGATTTCATCTTGGAAACCTGACCTTCATTTCTGAAGTGGAACTGAGGTTTTTGTATAACTGTTCTGAAAGCATGACAGTTATTTGGGAATAAGTCGTGGGTTTTCTGTCATGTTCCTTTGCTAAAAATACTGTATTATCTGTCATGCATATAACTACAGATGGGCAACAAATATATAGACAATCCTGAACAAATTTATCTTTGAAAGCATCAGTTCCTCAAATTAAAGATGGTGGAACCATAAAATGTCAGTGACTTTTACTTCAAAATAGTTTTCTATCAATGCAGTAAAGGTTGTAGCTCCAGGTTAGTATAAAAAAGTGCTCTGAATACTTTTTCCATGACTGAGAACTAGAAGAGGCTATGCAAATCTTAGTGGAATATGTCAAAAGTCAAGTGTGTGTGTCTGTGTGCATAGATCCAGCCTTCAATAGCTGTCGTGACCCAGGAACTCCAGCTTATGGCATCCCAGTCGTGGCCCAGGGCTTTCAGGTGAGAAACCTATCATCTGATTGTAAAACAATTGGAAGTGCAATCCTTCAAAAGACATCTCAGGACACTTTACAAAGTAAGGTCTAGACCTTACTATTGTTATTAATATTGAGGAAAGGCCCAACAAGTCCTCTATTTGTCAGAAAATAATGTTAACAGCAGCCCACAAAATGCTTGGGTGCTATTGTAATTCAGCTTAAAGAGTTCTACAAGCAAGTACCGTAGATCAGATATAAAACTTTAACTGGCTCTTCATCAAGCTTAGAACTAAAAGATGTTAAGATGAGCACAGAGACGTTTTTTGTAGACTGTGTCAAAAAATAGCAGCAGTATTCTACTGCTTTTACATGATCCAAAGATGTGCAGATACAACTGCAAAAGGAGTTGCAGTGATGCAAAATGTATTGTTAAATACATGAATATTAATGTCCATCTAAGATACAATGGGCTAAAAGTTTGCAAAGGTCCTTGGCTGAAAAAATATAGAGTCAATCTGAGACTCAACATGAAGGTCAAAAGTAAAGGCCTGGTCATAAGCCAGATTTCTGTGGAGGGCAGATAAGAACTTGTTACTGGAATATATTGGTTGCCCAATCCTAAATGTAATATCAGCAAACACCTAAATCTTTCAATTTGTGAAGGCATCATTGGATATCTTTTATTTTCCCTTGTCATCTCCACAAACGAAGGAAGGCTTACCACCATCATTAGAAACAACAGGCATAGCATGTGATGCAGGAGTGACAAGGTTATTTCAAGTACCTGATAAAAATAAGGATTAGACCCATTAAAAGACAAAAAAAAATGTTTTTTTTTTCTTGTTCTGTTTAATTTAAAGACTTACAAGTGAGGTGAGGAATTATTTTGCTAATAACATTTTCTTCAAGCTAAATGACAGCCCATGCTGCAGAGTGTGGCGGGTCTTGAGAGGCTACAAAGTTAATGAGTTAAGAGAATTTTTACTGTGCTATGATTATGTATATGATATGTACTGTAGGTTGGCAGTAAGATTTCCTTCAAGTGCCGCAAAAACTACCACATCCTTGGTTCAACCACAAGAACATGCCTAGAAAACCTAACCTGGAGTGGAACTCAACCTGAGTGCATAGGTAAGAAATACCTGTCTGTTACTGTGTACTATTATTATTTGTCCTCATCATAGTCTTGAAAAACTGATGCAGTTTTTCTGTCTTGTTGTTGAGGTTTATTTTGTTGCTTATATTTTGTACTTAGATTTTGGTTTTATGGAAACTATCCACTTTTTTGTTTAAGGCATGAAAGTAAGTGTCAACCCCATCTTTATTTTTCTCTTTCCCATCTTCCAGCCCATTCATGCAGACAGCCAGAGACCCCCAGTAATGTAGATGTTCGATCTATGGACCTACCTACCTTGGGATATACACTGATCTACACCTGTCAAGACGGTTTTTATCTGGCTGGTGGTTCAGAACACAGAACCTGCAAAAATGATGGGAGGTGGTCAGGAAAACCCCCGCTTTGTAAAGGTATCCTGGGCTGAAGTCAAGCCTGAAATCTAAACTGGATGTCATAATCTCCTATGGCTTAAGATAAATGCATATTAACACCCTGACATTTTTGCTATGCTCTCATAAATTAGCCTCATGCAATTTTTTATCTGTCACATACTCATGGCCCTTTCTAATCTGAAAGACAGGGAGCTCATGGTTGTGAATTCAGTGATGTATGACAACTAAACAATAAGGTTTATAATGAGACAAGCAGTAGTCTGCCAGCTGTTTTCTGTGGGATTCTTAAAAGACAGATGTAAATGTAATGCACAATTAGAGTAGAATTTTCTACATTATTAAATACTTTTCTTAGTTCTTTCAGTCCTGTCGCACATTAAGTCTGTCAGCCCTGTCTGCTAAATGTACTGCCACCTAAGTATCTAACTAAACTTTATGGTATTTTACATTTCAGTTGGAGTGAAAGTCAATCCCAAAAGCAGAGGAGAAACTGATGTCCAGAAGAACAAGATTCATGGTATGCAGAATAAACAACTACAGCACACACATACACTGTTGTACATACGCTGCATACACAAACATACTTATCAGATGTTTCTTTGGCAGGTAGTTTTGCAGAATTTCAGAGTTTCTTTCATTGTTTTTGTAGGAAATAGAATTATCACAAGGTAGTTCTGAAAAAGCAGTGGCTACTGAGGTAGGAAGTTGTAAGGAGTGTTGACTACACCGGCCTTCTGTCTGAACAAGTTTGAGATTTATAGGCTGACAGTGAATTATCCTGTGTACAGAGCACAGGCTCAGATGAAATAAATAAATCAGTGAAAACATTCAGGTGCAATGCCATGTAATACCTTGTGAGTTTGAAGTAGGATTCTTTAATCAATATATGCATTTAGAAGGAGCCAGTGAAGAGAAACTAACACCGGAGAAAAAGAACAAGGTTGTGGAATATTTGTAAGAATACTGAATCTGCAAAGTTTTGAATAAGTCATAAGTGTGGGATTCAGACAGCCAGACACGAAGCCACTGCAGCAGTCAGCCACGAAGGAACCAGAGGTAGATATGCTTTGTCCAAATCCTGACATTTTCACTGCCGTCACCCTCTCTATGACCTTTACCTTATAGCTAGGAAAAGTTGCAAAGGTTGGCCAACAGCAGCGCTGCAGCTGTTTCTTTTAAATGTAGAAAATCATATGGTGTCACCAGTCATGCTTTGAGACCATGGTGGCATGGTGATACTGTTAGTAGGAGCATTAGCAGCTGTTTTAACCTTGTAACACAAGTTTTAAATATAGTTTTTGTTTCTTTTTTCCAATACAGTTCCAGTGGATGTGTTCTCTCCAAACTCTGAGTGGAGCGGTTTCTACGAGTATCTAGGGAAGAGACAGACCACCACATTTACAGTTATTGGGTTCAATGCTACCAGCGGGAGAGTTAACATCACACTGCTGGAGACCACCGGAGTGTCAATTAGACTGTCAGGTAAAAAACCAGCTAATGCTAATATTAGTCACTAATTTATATTGCTATGAGTAACTTCATGAAAGAGTTTCTATTACATTATTTTAATGTTTGCCAACACTATAAAGAATAGGCAAAACTAATCAAAGAAAGCAATTAAATCAATATCTCCTTTCAGTTTTATATTCATAGCCTAAATGTGCATCAGCAAAGTCTGTTAGAAGTCAAATGTGTGTGAAATAGAAAATATTTTGCCCCAGTCACCCTGAACTGTTAAGTTGGATTACATTTAAGACATTTACGTGAATAATGTTGGGCTTTTGTTTCTACTGTTTGTAAGCTGCTGGGTGCCTTGAATTTCCCTCAGGATCAATAAAGTATCTATCTATCTATCTATCTATCTATCTATCTATCTATCTATCTATCTATCTATCTATCTATCTATCTATCTGTCTGTCTATCTTTCTATCATTAAATGTTTTATAAATATTTAATCTGTAAGGCAAGAAGAACAGCTTTTTGTAAGCAGTGTAGAACATACAGAGAAGAGAAGCAAGTCATTAATAATTTAAATAATATATCATGTAAGGGCACTCATGTGAATTATTAAGTCATGTGCCTGGGCCTCTCTACAGGTTCATCAGTGCATCTGCAGAATCACCATACCAGTGTGAAGGGACAAATCACCTGAGAAACAAGCCTCCCATAGCAGTTCCCCAGTGTACATGAAGTATTTTTTTAACAGTGACACACATACTGTGTGTTTTGTTATGTCACAATCAGTAGTTCAGCTCAGTGCCCAGGCCATGAAATGGCTTCCGATGTATAAAATGATTTAATTTTAAATGTGTGATGTTTCCTTTACATGGACTTATCATATAAAACAGCAACAGTTTTTATGCTGGCACTGTAGTTAGCCATGTAAAGAGACGTAGCTGAAGGGTAAATTTCACCTCTCCCCATAATGTGTCGGGTGCTTGGTGAAGTAAAAAGAGTATGATAATTCTAAATGTCAAAGTGTCTGTTTTTCTCTGTTTATCACTCAGCCTGTCTGTCTGACTGGCTGTTTGCTTACCACCTTGTCTGTCTCTCTTTTTGATTGTCAGCCTCCATTGGTACCTTTGCATTTGTCCTTCTTGTTTTCCTGCCAAGTGCCAACACAATTTAGTAGCTGGCTTCATGTTTTTGATATTATATCAGGGTCAGGCTTTATTGAAATAATTTATCTTTAACATCATTGCTCTTTGTGTCTATGCTCATCTAGGTACCTATAAGACGGAGGAGAACCAGCTGCTGTTGAAGGTCTACCAGGTGAAGGGGCCAACAGAGCATTACTACAGCAAGTTTAAAAATGACAACTGGGCTATGGATGGATATGTAAGACAAACCTCCTCTTCCTTTTCAATATCAAGCATTTTAAATTGAACAGAAACTACTTTTTACAGATTTCTTTATTAAGAATCAAAATCATTATCACCATTTTTAAATGATTATATTGAATTATTGTCCTACTCTGTATCAAAAATGTAGTGCCATACCACCTTACTCACCCCTCTCCCACTTCTGGAAATGGTCCTGTGAGAAAGGTATATTGAAATTCCAGACAAGTCCTCATTCGCATTATGCACAACAGGTTTTGAAATACAATGAGGTCTAATTAACATCTTCTCGGAGAGAGGAATGGTGTGGTTTCCCAAGAGGCTTTTGTTTCCCTCTTTTGTAACAACAATGTAAGAAATACGTTATTGCTCAAAATTATCACCATTAGGTGACATTGCTCTACGTCATCAGATTTCCACAAATCCCAGTACAGTTTGATGCATTTATTATTAGGCACACAATATATATTACTGTCAGTTTATTGTTTATGCACAATAGTTATATTCTTTTGCTCTTTTATAATTAGTAAAATGTTCCGCTAAGTGAATATATCCAGTAGGTACAGTAAATATTTTTAAAGATGTACTATACAAAAAAATAGAATTGTTTTTGTTTATTTTTTTTCATAGCCTGTAGAAATGTAAACATTGAAAAGTGGAGGGATTAGCAAGGCATAAACCTTTTCTCCCACCTGTTCTCAGGTTATAAAAACAGGAGAAAAATCTAAATCAGACTTTAAAAAATAGATTTTTTTCACTTGCCTCTTGGGGCTTCCATATTGGGTCCTTGTTTGGAGTGGTCTTTAGAGTACTGGACAGAGGCTATGTCCAAGATCACACCCAATTTAAGATTTAGCAAATTATATTTATCTATTTTATTTGAGTTTACAGATTCTTAGTGTGCAGTTTATGCCCTTAACAGTTAAAACAATGGATAAAATTTCTATTTGTGAATAGATGTGAAAACTACCATTGTGCAAAGGTACACCTGTCAGTGATGATGCAAAATGATGATCATCACTGTGTGTCTGACATCTCACTATACTGCTCACTACAGAATCAACTATCATAAAGAATGAGTGAAGAAGGGAGTCATATCAGACATACACACATGGTTCATTCAACAATGTTCTGTTCTTCCTGGAATATATTGAAATTCGACATGTTTTTGTCATGCATGGCTGAATACCTTTGATTTTCCATATCACAAAACAAAACTGTGAAAAGAACTACATTTTTTCTTAAGCAGACAATTGGCTTCAGTTACTATCACGGCTATTTATTTAAATTACACTGAACAAGAACAAGAGGACAAAGGGTTGGGTGATATCTGAGGAGACAAGGAAGAAAATAATTGCCAAGCATGGTTAAAATAAAGGCTACAAGACTCACTCCAAACAGTTCCTGTGACTACAGCTGCATACCTGAGAGACCCGGAGCACCTTGTCAAAGAAGTTTGAAACCAGTCTACCGTTTAAGAAGTGTAGGAGTTTCATTATTAGCTGCAAAAAGAGCATGATTGAGCTGATAGATTCCAAAGGGTGTGTTATGAAAATACTAAGCTAATGGTCCAGTGTGTGTCTTCTGTTACATACAGTATGAAATAGAGAGCAGTGATTGCCAGTTACTTTTGGGCCCAAACTATGCCAAGTCAAGCTTTTAGGTTTCTATTTAATTTGTCACCCATCTGTAGTTTCACCATGTAAGTCCCCATAAAACCACACATTTACCATTTTCAGGATTCAGGTATTGGTGAATTAGTAAGTTTGTTCTGTGCAGTTTTCTTTCTTTAGACTGTGGACGTTTTTAATCATCCACAATATATTATCATATTTTATGATCATAATATTGAGTGCTAAGTGTCTAGAAAGAAAGATAAAAGTAAAAAAATAAAGAAAATCAGCTTTGTATGCATTTTCCATGCAGACTTTTTTACTTTGGTTTGATGTGATATTTGAAGCTTGTGAAGAGCACGTTTACATCTGGGGACTGGATTAAAAATCTGATCCTGTTTTACTGGTTGACAGCTAGGAGGAGAGGGGAGATGGAGGAATCAAGCAGGGAAAGTGTAAAGGATGGCAGCAGAAGGAGGGATTGAAGGGCGGAGACGCTTAGACGTCCAATTTATCATGCTGCAAAAGACAGAGCAAGAGAGGAGAAAAGTCAGGCTGATAATGACCAAATTGTGATTCATTTTACAGTTAGAAGATGAAATTTCAATTGTTGATTTGTAGGCAAAATATTGCTTCTTCAAACTTCAAATCAAGAAATAGTGCAGAGGGGAGGGGAAGGAGGTATAGACAGAAGAGAGACCAGACTACAGAGGATGGCAGATTCTGTTGAGGAGAGGAGAGGAGAGGAGAGGAGAGGAGAGGAGAGGAGAGGAGAGGGCAAGCTGAAACTCAAACATAAGCAGCATAATATAAAATCGTTTTTATTGAGTTTACCAAATGAATGCATTTAATATCACAATGTAGTGTAAAACCAAAGATTACACAGAATTGGTTGTTCTGATTATTTTAAAAAATCACATTACTTAATATAAAAATGACATTTTATAGCTAAGAGCTATAGAAGAGCCTTACTTTCATTGTAATCCACAAGGATGGCAACATCAGCTGTTGTTATCCTGATGTCGTCATCCGTCTTTAGTCAATTTTGCAGGGAGGTACTTACATATTAATCTGTCTGTTCCTAAACTCTGTTCATCCTATAACCACACCTGTCTCACACAATACATTGTATTTTTGATCCTTGTGTCACTTATTGTCACTTTGACTAGAATTCTGCGCTGTTTTCATAGTGTCAGACACAGGACAGACCTTCTGGAGAAACCTTCTGCTGTGGTTTTGATGAACAGAGCTGAAGATTATCCACTATACTTCCTCAGTGTCTACAACATTTTGTACCTCTATAACATAGCCAGTTACTGTACATTTCCATTACATAAACCCTTAATGCTGAAAAACAGTATTTCCCACTGAGCAGATATTAAACTGGATGTTTTGTTCTTCAGGTTACTGCAGAATCAGACCAAAAGACCTTTGTGTACCAGGGGCACATTCACAGTAAAGACTTTGGCAAGTTCCGTCTCACCAGGCAAGGTAGGTCTGTGCAGCCTCGCCATCACCAACAACAATTGCAACAACAAACTATACAGCTTTGATCTTCCTAGAAAACAGTGCTATACTGAACATTGCAAGAAGAGTGTTTGTGTAAGTATTCATGCATGTGTGGGTTTTTCTGCGTCTGTATCCCCAGGACCTGTAACCATGGCAATGGACCCATCCAGCCCCTACACAAACAGCAGCTCTGTGGCAGCAGCTATCTTAGTTCCTTTCTTTGCCCTCATCCTGTCTGGATTTGCCTTCTACCTCTACAAGCACAGGTGAGCTATACCCTCAACACAAATCCACTGGAGAAAAACAGACAACCAGCAGAGTAGAATACAAAACAGCTGTTTACCTTCTGGCCTCATCTGCTATCTCTTGCTTTGTCTAATTCAATCATTTATTTTATACATTTCCCCAAAACATGCATTCTCCAACTTATTTGAAATAAGTTTCATTTGGTTGCATTGCACCATAGTCTCTTAAGGCTCAGGCTGATGAAAGTCTTATTACAGTTTATCTACCTTTTGGTAAATGTTAGTGCAGGATGGTAGGGCCTCTCATTCTGAGGGAGTGGCACCGAAGCCTGAGTCTGTACATATCAAGCTCATCAAAGTAAGAAAAATGAGCCCTAACAAATTTCCTTATTAATCTTGTCTTAGAAAAGCTATAGAGCTACTGTGTTCCAGTCAGTTAGGGGTTTACAGCCGGTTGTGGCTGAAATAAAAACCAATAGGTTTCTCCAGAGATATTTATTAGATATATTCTCTCTGAGATGAAATATTGCATCTGTAAATCTCCATAACAAGTTCTTGTAATTTACACCTACAGATACTGGCAGCAAGAAAATGTGTCAACACAGTGCTTTCACAAATTTGATGGCATTTATTGGACCTGAAAGAATCAATTAAAATACATTATTTCTGAGAATTACTGTCCAGAACTTCTAAATATCTTCTGGAACTCTGGAAAATAGTTTTATAGTTTTTTCTAACTTACAGCACAATCTCTTTGAGTGATTCTGAGATGCTTGACAAGTCGGAGCACTGTTTGTTATTTATCTTTTAGACAGTGTACATTTTTCTGCTATCAATTGTGGCTACAATTTAAGTGACACAGCACACATATTGTGAATAGGGAAGACACGTTATTAGCAGGTGGAGTTGCAGTGCACCTCCTAGCCATGACACTCTGGCTGTAGTCCTGTCAGCTTTACCTACAGTATATTATGAGAGCACTGTCCAGGTACAGAGTAAAAAAAACAAATCTATATCAGCCTGTAAATAATTATGCATTTCTACATTTGTTTTCAAGGGCATGTGTCCCGTACACAGTACAATCCTTGTGGCCATATAAATAATAATCGTGCACAGACATCTATAGAGGACAGTGATATTTATTACCATCTGGCTTCAGTTATTTATAGTACAATAAAATGCCTAATGGTTGTTCAAAGTTTTAAAAGCATTTACTTTTATTATACTATAGTTTTACTCTACTGAGTGACGTTTCTTTCTTAAGATGTGAGATGTTCTGCACTCAGTCATCATATTTGTCAGGCAAAAGCCATTATTTCATGTTCACTTGTTGCCTTGTCTTTATGGTGGCGCTTTAGCCTTTTACTACTTTACAGAATGTTAGTAATGTGCTTTGTTATGTACTAACTATTTATTATGGTAAATCCTGTGATTGCTAAGATGGTGATTGGTGTGTACATGGTCCTACAGAGTTACACAAATATTGACAGTGCATTTAGCATAGTTTAGCATGCAGTGTGATAGCTACGGAGGCTATTAGGTTACTAACATTATCATTACATTACACTTTGTCACAGTCTGCTTCACAGTTAGCAGTGTGCAATGCCAGTTTATGTATATTAAAGCTGATGGTTGTATGCAGGACATTGTCTGCTGACACAGATGACAATGAGAGACCAAAAGACACCTGGGGGCCTGGCGGCAGGTAAGACTGACACCTGTCATTCAACTGGTTTCAAACGGCAACCAGACCTCCGCCCGCCGCCACATCCTCTGCCAAACTTTTCATCTCTTCTTTTTGATTTTTAGATTTTTCTCATGCTGTTTAGTAAGGCTGCACAAATTATATTTTGTGAACTTAGCTGAGATATTTATAATTCTAAATTAAATGTGTAAACTAAACTGAATATTAATTTGGGGGGAAATTTTTACAAGGAGTCTTGTAGTAGCTGAAGCTACAGTAATTGGGGTGACATTTGTACTCAGGGGGAAAAATGAATGCAATTTTGAATTTTTTAAAGCAGTGCAGCCCTACTGTGTTAAAACAACAGTCATTTAGACCTGCTGTAGTTGAAGGGCATTTTATTTTGTCTTTGCTCTCATTGTCATCTCTCTGTCAGCATGATGCCATCAAAACAAGTATTTGACCTGCTATGAGCTGATCTAATCAAAACAAGCGACATGTTGTGTGTACTTCTGTTTGCTGTTGCTTTCTATTATTTCCAAATTTTACTTAAAACAAGAAAATATGTTTCATCTTGACTCAACAGTAGGTGTACAGCTAACAAAACATGTTGCCAACAATAAATAATGGCACATCAAGAAAAATAGAAGTGATTTAATTCTATACTAGCTTAAATGAGAAACTAAAAGCAAGATGTGAGTGAGTGAGTTTCTCCCTGTTCTTCTTGCTATGGCCCATGTGTCTGTACAGTATCTATAATACTGTCAAAGCAATTATGTGTGCTGTTTTTCATTCTACCAGTAAAATTTAATTATTGCACCTTGAGCCACAAACAGAAACTAGTGCAGCAATGTGAACTACTGCCACACAGGGAGGTCTCTCTGTGTGCAGTTTTGTAAAGTAATGGGCTGAGCATGTAGGGTAGGCTTAGCTGCTCCCCAGGCTTGGATTTCTACCAGTGTATGCACACACACACACGCACACACACACACACACACACACACAGACATCCTCTTAATGAGGTCTGAGTCAAACAGCATTTCAGCTGCAGCACTCCTCCCTGTTAATATTTCCACAGGGTTTGGATGTAAGTGGTTATATCTAACTGGATTATAGGACCTGATTATCCAAAAATGTAATCTGCAGCAAACAGGCAAATTAGAAGGGGATAGTCATATTTCACCATGTATCTGTATGAACCTCTGAAATAAGTTTATTAAAATTATTATTCAGAGAGAATGAATAGTAATATACTCTTTTGAACTAAAACCATTGTATTAAAGCAGGTTAAAACTATGCAGACACACTCACATGAGAGCAGCACATAGGCACTGGGCAGCTGAGCCACTGAGGTAGGCAGCTATGGTTCATGTTCTCACTCCTGCCATAAATTTCTCCACAATTCTTTATTTTTCAGAAACCTGCTTTGGCTAAATGTGTGCCCTTAATCTCAAGGGTAAAGGTACAGAGCAACATGTCTGACAAGACAGCTGACAGGACAGAGCAGAGGTGTTTTAAGTTTACTTTTTTGGTCTTGGAATTGGTTGCAGAGCTAAACGGGACAATGAAAATATAATCAATATTCAGTTAGCTGTGAAGCTATACTAGGACATTCTGCTGTCCGGTAATTTTTGAACTCATACATCCTACATTTTCTTGAGTGCCTTTAGTGCATACAGTACAAATGATAACAAAAAATAACGTGGTGTTTGTACTCTATCTTATTTTGAAGTATTTAAGCTTTTCACATTGACTCCAAGTCCTGCTATCTTGCACTCAGCTGGAGTCTTACAATATCATAAGGGTTTCTTTCTAACAGTCAGGAGGACAAAGGCTCCAAAAGAAACTCACAGACACATACGACATCAGCAGATACAGAACAACATGGACATCCCAAAAGAATCATATTTCTAGCACCTGACAAATGTAATCTAAAGTGACCTGGCCTGTCTCTGGTGCCTGAGAAAACTTTATCCATCAGCCACTTACAGTATTAACTGGGGCTCACTGCTGTTTTCTGCCAGGCAAGTGCCATACACCTGGCAGGTTATTCACTGTGATTTTGTATTGAGAGTTTATGAGATGTGAGACTCAACCATTCACCAGAAAACCCAACCTTTGAGCTAAGACTGTGTAGAACTGCAGAATTCAGTTTTAATTCTTGCTGGGCTTAGCACTACATGTGATGATATTACATTGATGTATGCTATAGTTAGTGTCTATGTAAAGTGACTAACGTTGGTGACAGCTCACAAAGGTATCAGCTAATTTGAGCAACTTCATTTCACGTTTATATAATGTCAGTGTGCATGTTTGTACTTGTTGTTTGCTGCACTGGTTGTACTGTGTTTTGTTTTTCTAAACATTTTACAAAGATATCTTTGTGAAGCTAAGATTCTGTCATTAACACAATGCTACTTCCTTCTCATTTTGTTTTTCAGGGCACGTCCAAAGGTTCAGTTCAATGGCTATGTTGGCCACGAGAGTTCCAATGGTCAGGCATCATTTGAAAACCCAATGTATGACACCAACATGAAGCCCACTGAGGCTAAGGCAGTTCGATTTGATACCACGCTCAATACAGTCTGCACTGTGGTATAGTCCAGCAAACCTGCCACTACCTATACAGTACAGTGGTTCAGCCCACCCTTCATGTTGCAGTTTTGCGGTGTGGTTTAACCAAACAAAACAGAAAGAACATACTTGTGATTTGGACTCGCCACTGTGAGGAGTCTGTGTTGTAGCACGCTAGTCCTCTTCAGCACTATCTGCACAGTAATGCAGGTCTGCTCCACCTCCTGCCTGAACAATGGTATCATCCATCTCTCTTGGAACCAATAAACAAGGGAGGAAAAATGGCATCAAATAACATGACGTCTGTTGTTTCAGAGATTAATGCTGGGACTAGAAATTTTGTTAAGCATTGTTGCAATTCAGACATCAAGGAAAAACAGAGAAAGATACAGTTAGTTAAACTTCCTCCAAGAGCGACAACCTCTCTGAACAGTGCTTGTGCAGTGTCAGCTGACATCTGCTAAATCTGACCCAACCTCCGTATGGAAAGTCCATTGTAAGGCCAGAAACCCCTCCCTGCAACCCGAATAATGGTTTACCCCAAATTCCCATGCCAAATTTGCACAGTGGTATAGGCTTACTAACTCCCCTGCTGCAGTGCGGACCTAGGTTTGACTGATGTGAGGTTCTATCCTCAGGGGAAGCACACGGACTATTCCACCCTTAAGCCCCCCACCCACCCACGTTGAATAGTAGTGGATGGTTCCATCAACAAACACCATCATTGGTGCTGGACCAAAAACCTCTCACTGGACTTCTATCACACTGGACTTGACTAGACTGAGGCAATGACAGCTTCCACAGTCTGTTTCAGTGAAATCTGATGTTTCTTGTACAGGTTACTGTAAAGCTGACAGACAAATGCAGCTACAAGTTCCTCAAGAGCAGTTCCTTTCAGGAAAATAATACTGTCATCCAGTCAGTAGTAGGAGTGGTGGACGAGTGCTAAACATCCCAGGCTGTAGATATGTTTGAAATGTTTGTTTTAGCCTACTCTGAGTACTTTAAGAACTAGGCTTAATATAGCAGGACAGTCACAGAGTTACAGTAGGAATGTTTGAATGAATTTTCAAATAAGTATTTGTGATTGTCTTTACCTTTTACCACCTAATAAGTAGGCTAAAACATACAGTACCTTCTCAAGCATTTGCAAGCACTCTTTTCCCAGGTTTAGTACTAGAAATTGTGAACTAGGTCTAAATGAGTACTGGATGTTTAATATATTCTTTAGCGATACTATAAAATCAGTCACAATATTCCATATTAGCACTGGGCAGTCTGTGCTGAACAAGAAAACCAGACATTTGAGTTGCCGGGTTGGTGTACACAATGGACTGGTTTCCAGAGGCCTATCTAAAACAATCGGTCAGACAACTGATTCTTGTTCTTGGACTAGCCAGGATTCTGTGTTTGGTTATTGAACAAGTGGAAGCCTGGAGGCAATAAGCTGTCAAGCTCATCAACTGCTGCAATCAGCTGTGGCCAAATCCAGGAAATGATTTGTCTTCTCCTGACTCTGGTCAGGATTATCGGCCGAGTGATGAATGATTTTTTTTTCTACAGTATACTCTCCAGCTACAGTATCACGAACAATAAAGAGATTAACAAACAGACTGGTTGAATGACAGGAATTAGACACAGACGTACGGT